ATTAGTCTGTAATAAATTTTCTATTAGCAGACATTTAATAGAGAGATGCTCAGAGGACACCCATCCAGAAGGCAGGCACTATACCTGGCAGCAGGGTTTGGGACAAGCTTGGCTGTCACCAGCCCCCCACTACCCCACCCAGACACATTTGCTGGGCAGCCCCCAAACACGGGAGTGTTTGTGACTTCATTAGCTTCAGAGTAGTTTAAAAGTAGCTGCAGTAGAGAGGCTAGTAAACTTGTACTTAGCCCCCTTACCATGAAACTGAAAACTGAATAAGGAGTACAAGGATCCTTGAAAGTCAACAAGTGAAGTCTGTCCAAACTGTGTGGTTAGAATCAGCTTTCTTGGCTTGTAAAAGTTCACCTTAGTAGAGAAAGTGTTGGTTGCATTTGAGCCTTGGAAGTTTGCTTATCAGTTTTTAATTTAAGGTAACATTATCCTCATAATGGACTCAGCTTATGTTTTCCACAAAATCAGAATTTTAAATGCCAAAACTATGATTTATGAAAAGGAAAATTAAAGCTTATGTTCCTAATCAACTGATGCAAAGCTTCAACTTCAGCATATTTTATCAAAAGTGAATAAAATTCATGTGTGATAATGTTAAAAAAAATCTAAGAGGCAACAAACTTTAAGAAATATTTATGGTCACTGTGATGTTTGCAAAGCTTTCAGCTATAAAAGGTGCTCTAAGAACAACTTCTAGGCACACAGACACACACATGTAAGTATATATTTCTGCATGTGTATGTATTTGGCAGAAATTTCAAAGTAGTACAAATTTATTGCGAAATTGTGAAATTTCATCTGTGTTAAAAAAAGTAGATAAATAAATATTCCTGTGTAGATGAATCTGAAATTGATATTGCCTCTGGAACTTTGTGTCATACAAAAAGTTTGTGCTGAATGCATACCTGGCAGCAGCTCATGGCAGCACATGAAAGTAAACGAAGCCCCATCTGTTTGCTTCACTGGTGAATATGGCAGAACACAGTAGAGCTGAAAGCTTCACAATTATTCCATTCTGCATTAATGGAGCAAAAGAGCTGGCATGTAGTGGCTATTGCTTTTTATCTCCATGGAGCATTAGGAGCAGTTGAAATAAATATAAATAGATAGAGAATGGCCTTTTTAACCATGCTTTCCTTGCATGCAGAAAATGAAGCTCATATCCTTCTTATTAGGGATAATCAAACCAAACTGAACCAACTAAATGAGTGGGTTTCACATCTAAACTGAACTTCTTTTAGACTTGCAGAAATTAGGTTGAATTACAAGTGAATTTTCCTCCACTGGGTCTCATCCATTTATGGATTCCTGGTTGCATCTCTTACAGAAGGCACAGCCTATTAGGGGGATAAATGGATGAAAGAGAAAGGCTGCACACAAGGTGTCTGTCTGCAGCCTGGATAGAAGCAGTAAAAGCAGCAAGAACTCAGATTTCTCATCCTACTTCTGGGGCTGGAGAAACATCTTCTGTTCATGCTACAAGTATTTACGAAATGGGACTCAGATCCCAATTTTATGGTAATTTATATAGAATTTATGCCAGGAAAAAAAGGTTGTTTCTGGTTTTAAAAGGAGAAAACCAAACCCAGAATCTATTGCCATTTCCTATTTGTAGCATTTTCTATTCACTGAGGTGGGAGTTTGCTGACATTTTTCAGGTTCTCTTGATCACTTTTTACCTCAGTGTGTGTTTCATAGGGGCTCCAGCATGAAATTCAGAATGATAGTAAAAAGACTCCAAGAAAAAATATTGTCCAGACTACTGATTTGCTACCATAAAATTTTCTGAATCTCTTAAGCTGTGATTACCTGGGGAGCACTCAGATGTGCACATTGAATGTGCTGGGAAAATGCGTGTGCAAAGATAGATGAAATTCCTTCCACTTTGCATTCAGAGTGAGCAAGGGGAGGATTTGAGTCTTTGTCTGGTTTTGTTTTCTTTATTTTTCTCTTTGTCATCCTTTTCAGACCGTTGAAAACTGTGTGTGCATTTTGAGGAACCTCTCATACAGGCTAGCTGCAGAAACATCTCAGGGACAGCAGATGGGAACAGATGAACTCGATGGATTACTCTGTGGTGATGCCAATGGAAAAGATGCAGAGAGTTCAGGGTGCTGGGGGAAGAAGAAGAAGAAAAAGAAATCACAAGATCAGGTAATGAAAGTTATTTGCAGCTGCGTTGTGAGTAGTTGAAGTGCCCATCATTTACAATATCAATAATTAATGCACTGTATTAGAAATTAAGTGCATGGCGCATAATATACAAAACTGTTGCCCTTGTTAATTAGCTGAGAGCTTAAAGCAGAATATGGCTGTGGAGTAATGAAATCTACATTTCTTGCTTGAGAAAGTTGTGCATTATGTGGTGCACCTGGAAACTGTAGTCATGGGTACACTGTGAGTGCCATAAATACTCTCAAATGCTCTTAGAAAGGAAGCCATTTCTAATGAAAAGTGTAATCTGCATGTACTTTATACTGTACTTCCACAGAGCCACGTGTGTGTAGGAAGGTTTTGATGCAAACATCAGGCTTATGTAAATGCACTTGCTTCAAGTGAGTCTTATACCATGCCTCTACATGTTGAGAGAAAACTGTACAGGACTCAATTAAGTAATGTGAGTGAATGTTGAAAAAGTATTCATATTTTGAAATATTTAAGATTGTTGCCAAAGAAGGATTCAAAAGTGAAGCCTTGATTGCTTCCTTAAGTTATTTGACAGGTTATAATTTTGGGTAGGTTGATTTTTAAAGTGTATTTATCTCCTTTTTGTCCCATTAAGAACATATTATTTGGGGAATACTGGCAAATGTATTGAGGAGAAAGTTGTATCAGTACACACTCTAAATAGCAATGAGAATGGCTACTGATTTATGGGCTTTTTCAGACAGCCTGTGCTGGCAGCAGTTAATTTTCCACCTCTTCCTACACTTAGTCACTTTTTTGCATTGTAGTTTATTTCTGCTTCAGATTGCTCAAAGAAAATATTTATTTAAGTAAGCAATTAGGTTCACAGGGTATTTGAATAAATGATGTGAATGAGAACTGAAAATATTCCTGAGCTCGTAAAGCCAATTTGTGTTAGTGTGGAAAAGTTATAGTAACATTACTAAGCTAAAACTTGGATACTGAAAAATGCAGCACTCTTGACCTACTCTTGTGCTTAAACTCCATCATCAGATAACTTGAATTTATTATGGCCTTTTGTTGGGATTCCAGTATTAGGCTACAGTGAGATTAAAAGTGTCAAAGCAAACTAATTTTACCCCATAAAGTAGTCATCATCCCTGTTCCTGAATTAACAGTTCTCACACACTAGGCTTGCATACTCAAAGTGCAGGAGCCAAAAATAGCATGTCTGGATATGAATGCGTCACACTGCAGCTTGGTCTGCTCTTTGATGCTCTGTTTACTAACACATGCACAGACACTCACTATCTGAAGTCTTTTTTAAGTCTTCCTCTTATTTTTTTTCGATGACTTTTGGATCTCAGATTGGTACTTTTAACTCTGTGCTGTTGACTCTTTCAGTATTCCCATAGGGCTTCTCTGTACTTTAACAGCTCCCTATAAAGCACTTTTTTGCTCCTCCAGGCTAAAGAACAGAGCTCTTTTGGTGGATTACCTTTACAATGTACGTGCTCTTGCCAGCTCTCAGATGTGTTTTGTCCGTTTCTATGAGAGCTCATTATCAGCACGTGTTGTGGTAAAGGTCTCCTCAGAGCTGTTTGTGTTTGCCTAATGGAAGAGTTTTCTGTAATTTTTTTAATCCAAAGAAAAGTAAAACTACACACTTATGTTTACGATCTGTAGGCTTCTCTGTGGCAAGGACATAAATTCACTCTTCCCAGAACTGATTCTGTTGTGCGCAGGACTGCTTTGCCTTAAAAGTATTAGAAATATTTTTCTAATTATATTTTTTTCTAATTTTCATCTAATTTCCTTTCAATCTGGATGTCCTACTTCATCTTGCACATGTGGATATTATTCAGTTCAGGAATTTTAAGGGAGCATTGTGAGCCTTCTGCAGGTTATTTTCACTCCATAATCCTCTATTGTTGAACATACCAAATGTTTTAAATGTATTGTTGAACATACCAAATGTTTTAAAGTATATTATCAAATTAACATATTATCAAGGTAACTAGAGTGCCACTAAAAGCAATGCAGCAAAATCACCATGCCAGAAACAGGTCTTCCAAATCACTCCTTAAAAATGGAAAAGAATACCAGTATTTTTCATGTAACCGCATTTATATTAAGAGCATAAAATAACTCAAACTGTGATGGGGGTAAATGTAACTTTTTTCTCCATTAATTTTGCAAAAATAAGCACAGAAATATGTTCAGAGATATTTGTTCAATTGTGGACACAGTTGCGTAAAAAATTGCCTTCTCTCTGCTTCTTTGTCTTTGGGGTCCTTTAATATTTGAGAGTTTTATCTTTTCAAACAAAGCACAAGGCACAGGGACGTCTCTGTCAATTGTGACACCTCAGTATAGGGGAGCAGCATCCCGTCCGTAATTGCTACCTTTTATGTCCCCAGAAAATATGTGTTGAGGGTATAGGTATTTTTTTCTTTTCTTTGGCAGTGCATGGGGGTTTTGAATAACAAAATTGCTGTTTTAGTCTCCCTCAGGAGATAATATTTACAAAACAGTGAGGAGACAAAAATGTTCAGATTTTAGTGAATGCAATTTTGAAGTTTTGCTATTACACTATCACTGTAACTTAGTTTCTTTATTATTAGGTGTATTTTCTTGAAGTCTATTTATGCATTTATGAGGTAATCTTTAATTTTTGGATAAAAGTTTTAGTAAAAAAAGTAGTAGCAAAACTACTGTAGTTGCAAAATAAAACCAGATGTATCATTTTAGACAAAGGATGTGGATGAAGCTGCATTTTTCCATACTTAAAAAAAAATCCCTCACAGCGCTGGGGAGTTGGCTTCTTAAACCATAAAACAGGAGAAACTTGATATTAAAATCACTTTCTCATGGGTTTTCTCTATAATGAAAGAGGAAGTTAATTTCTTTGTTTTATGATTAAGGAAGCAAGTATCCCAGTTTTTCTAGGTTGTGTTTCAGTTGCAGTCACATATAAGTTTCTTGAAGAGGAGAACATAATTGAGAGATAGTATAAAATGTGGCTTCTTTCAAAGGCCTTTCAAGAACAAACTGGAATTAATTTTTTTATTAATGACATCAGTTGTCGATACCAACAGCAACTTCTGTACGTACTGAAATCAAATATGAGATGGTCTTTGTTCAGATCATAGGTCTAATGATACCTTTCAAATTACTTTGCTTAAGGAGTTCCCTTAGGATCACAGGAAACAAGTGTTCTCCTCATTTCAGAATAAAGGTGGGTGGTGGTAAAAGAGCCCACAATCATTTCACCACAGCTGAAGGAGGTTCCTGAGGCATCTGCTTTGTCACACAAATTGAATGTTAGAAGAGGCCCAAACCTGCTAAAGGTTTGTGATAAAGTCTTGGTATAGCACCGGTTTTATCTTTGGAGAAAYAGAAAGCAAAGCTTCTGTTAAGGTCTCAGGAAAAATAAGTGACACTCACCTGACTTCTGTCTCAAACCTCTAGGGCTGTAATTCTCTGCTGTCAACGTTGTTTGTTCATTTTCCTCTGCTGCTTACCTGTGATCAGCTGGTGCTGAACCCTCAACCCAATAAGCTCTCCAGCCACAGAGCCCTTCATCCCTGACTAGGACCTTGCAAACATCAACCTCTCTGTCTTGTATTGTGTCACTCTGCAGATGAAAACTGATATTTCCACTGTTGTTCACGCTGCTGGCATGCTCACTGCTACCAACAGGTTTATTCTTTGAACTGTATGAGAAACAAGGACTATGACAAAAAGCAGTTAGGGAAAATAAGGTGTATGGTCCAATTTCTGTAAAAAAAAAAAACCACCAGGGAGTTGTCATTGATCCTTATTTTACTTCTTGTTATGCAGCCCATTATGTGTACATGTGGCACTATTTCATTTCTTTTCCTTTCTTCCCTAAGAAAAACAAGTTGACTTCTTAGCTTCATGCTCCTCTCGAGTTCCCCATCTGTGATCATTCTTGTCACACCAGAATCTAGCCCAAAGTCTGTTTTTTTGATTGGAAGTGACACTTCTGAAATGAGCCTGACCTTCTTTTCACCTTCTGTCAGGAGCCTTAAGGTATAACAGTAACATTTCAAGTCATATATCATTAAGAATTGACTGGCACACCTCTTTAGCATGCTTGCTAATTGGCCTATAAATTCTTCTATCTAGGTGAAATAGCAGGCTTAAGGCAATAATACTTCAAAAAGTATAAAAAATAAACCTGCCAGATACTTCTTTTCATGTGGTGAGACCACTGTTCTATCAAGGATACATCAATACTGTACTGAGCCATACCAAGCTAATAAGCAYAGGAACAGAGAAATGGTGGCAGCTCCTGGCTTTAACCAATAATTTGAAAACTGAGATTAGGGATGAAAGGCTGCCAATATTCCCTTGCTCAGAAAGAATGTTGTTTCCACTTGTTTCCACTTCCTTGTCTTGCACAAGGTGGTTTTGCCAAGCATTGAGTCACAAGAGTCAACTGTCTTGAGCGATTTCTTACAGAGCTTTTTGAAAACTCTTTCTGCTTTCTTCCTTGCCTACACAGCATCTTCCCAGATACTCTGTGAGCTTCTCAGTGTCATTTATGGCACTGTTTGTTTTCAAAGTCAAAATTGCAAGGTTATTAAACATAATTTGTATTTGCCAATTTGTGGAATAGACTGCAAAGCCAGTTAGTTTCAGCTTTCTGTGGAGAGAAGGGCATTTAATGACATCCTTTCCATCCCCCTTTGTTTGGGAGGGGTCTGGTTTTAAGCAAAGACTAAATGCACAAACTGAATCAATATTTTTTTTTTAGCTAAGCATAATATAAATAAGTTGAATAAAGGCATAGACAACTATTTTAAKTGTAATATATAATATAAAGTACAATTTAGATTTATTATCTGAATTAATTATAATGATTCAATACGTTGAAATGTTTTGAAAGCATTTCAGACATCTTTCCTATAATYGTAAATGTTGTTGTGTCAAGCTGGGGAGGGTACTATTGTTTATGCAATAAGCTCTGCCCACTCCTACCATACTCCTGTAGTCTCTGTGTCAGTTGACACCTTCGTTTATATTCACCACCTTTGTTTAGTCCTAGATGTCTAAACTGTAGGCTGACTTGATGTAAATAGTGGAATTCCTGCCTCCTTTGTATCAGCTGCATGGATTCTCATCAGCCCTGAAAGCAAGCTCTGTGACTTTGGTGAATTTTTGTTGCCGAATTTTCCATTTCTGCTGTTGACAGCGTTGGCCAATGCACCTCTTGGACAGAGGTGTCCAAAAGAGGTCATTGGACTGACATGTCTAGGGACAGCTGGCAGAGACTGCCACCACCACTAAGACATGCAGGACGAGATTCCAGTGTCTTCCCAGGAGGCCTGGTCATTTAAAAGCCTTTGGCATTTCAGAAATGGTTTTAGTAASCACTGTGTAATGGCTCGTATGAATTTTGTCACTGCTGTTTCAAGGAGCATAGCTACAGAATTATCAGACTATGCCAGATGTCTAGGACCACTGGAGAGAAGTCTAGATGGTTTTAGACTTGTTGGGTTTTGTTGTAATTTTGCCTAGATTTTCTTTTTCTTTTTTTTTTTTTGTAGCGGTATTTGGTACAGACTGGATGAAAGGAAGTATTCATATGTAATAAATTAACATGAAACACTGTTGTTTTGTTATCACAGGAAGACCTGTGGTCATGTGATACCTATTTAAAAGCAAACCCCACCAATTTGAGGTTATTAGTACAAACCCCAGAATTTGCAGTCTAGTTCTCTTACTGAGTTGGAGCCTTCCCAGGTATTCAGCACAATTGCACTACAAATACGGACTTGTTTTCACTAAAATGAGAAAAGTGGTGGTAGATAATCTGTTGTGCTGCTCAGAAGAGCATCTCAATGAATGATCTTTTTCTTGTCTCAAAATTCCTTACTAATATGAAAATTTGGAAATTGTATTAGTGTACTCTTACTATCAGAAGTCTGTTGTTCTTAAATGATTTTGGTATTTGGCTTTTTATTTTTCTTGACTTTCACCCTTTCTTTGCAACAGTCTCAGGAAATGAGAGATTTGTATCTCACCCACGTAACAAGCAGTTTGTCAGCTTCAACCACAATATATGTGGGTAATTTCAGCTGAAGGAGGGAAGCCTGGAAGGAATATTTGTTTATGACTTTTTTTTTTTTTTTTCCTCTTTAGTATCATCTAGGAAGAGTAATTGCATGTAGTCATCCTCTTTTTTCAGAGGCTCCTACTGCAGCCCCAGTGTATCTCAAATAGACCTTCCTGATCATTCCTGATGGGCTGCAGTGCAGTAACTCTTCTGGTAATTTACTGGGTAGAGGTGTTTAAAGGGTGAGGATGTTGCCTCAGCTCATTAATATTTAGAAATGTGAACCTCAAAGCAACTTCTTCCRTGCCTTAACCCCTATTTTAGACATAGACTCTAATACCACTTGGGGAAAAAGACTGTTTTTGCTCAGGTGGTTGATGTTTATGAAATACAAAACGAATGAAGATTGGGAAAATCTCCTTTGCAATGGCTTCTTTGCTTACCTGTCTCAGTTCCACATGCCCCCCAACAGCTGGGCTGTGCAGCTTCAGGTCCTGGTCTCAGCTGCACAAAAGGCACCAGAAGCCATGAAGCCCTGCAGGGAAGAGGCTGCCACAGGCASAGAWGGTGCCRTGGTTTAACCCCAGTCAGCAACTCAGCCCACACAGCCACTCGCCCAGTGAGGTGGGGGTGAAGAAGAGTAAAAGTGAGAAAACACGTGGGTTGAGGTAAAAACAGTYTAATGGGRAAAGCAAAAGCCCCACATGCAWGCAAAGCAACGGAAGGARTTCATTCACCACTTCCYGTGTTCAGCCATGCCCAGAAAAGCAGGGCTCCATCAYRCRTAACAATGATTTGGGTAAACAAACCCGGTGCTTCAAATGTTCTCCCTTCCTTCTTTTCCCCCCAGTTTTAAATACTGTGCATGACACCGTGTGATATGGAATGTCCCCTTGGTCAGCTGGAATCAGCTGTCCTGGCTGTATTCCCTCCCAACTCTTCTGCATCCTCATTCTCCTCGCTGGTGGGATGGGGAGGGGTGAGCAGCAGAAAAGGCTGTGTCAGTGCTCTCAGAGGCGACTAAAACAGCCCTGAGTTATCAACGCTGTTTCCAGCACAAATCCAGTGCATGGTCCCATACCAGCTACTGTGGAGGTAATTAACTCTGCCCCAGCCAAAACCAGCAYGGTGTGGYGGRCAGTGACAGCMTCTCTGTGCAGCCRCTCAGYTGCTCTGGGTGCAMACATTGTGTTTGAAGAGCAGTGCAGGACATTTTCCAGGGTCACTGAATTTCCTGTGCCTTCCCTGCCACATGCATATGTGGTACCAAAGATTTTCATCATTATTACACAGGCTCTGAAGCATCACAGTGTCTTGAGAAAAGGGTCTTCCCTCACAGTTGGTGATAAATTAATGCAATCATGCTAAAAGTGAGTTGCAGGAAGGGCAGGGAAATGCAGTAATTTGTCTCACTTTTTTYCCTAATGTTTTCTCATTACTGGGCAGAATGGCAAAACAACATTAAATATTAATTTTTCTGCTAGATCGTTTCTAGTGCTTTCTATGYGCCAGCACAGCACGAACATGTATATAGGGCTCTGTTTATATCAGCTGATTTTCCGTAGTCCTTGGGATCATAAGAATATAAATACCTGAGCATTAAAAAAAAAAAAGAAATTATGCCTCCACATATGCAAAAATGGGTAAATCTGATACATTTGATGCATTTCATGTACTTTGTCCTTGAAAAAATACGGTAAATAGCTGTGCAAACAGTCTTCAGTTGCATAATGCATAATTCGTGCAAGTTGGGATGAGGCAAGTGAAGACCTGAATTGGTGCCCTTGGACATCACAAGTCATTCATTAGTGCAAAGTCTAAACCTGGTGTGAGGTCAGATTTGACCTGTAAGATATGTCTCTCATTTGTTTTCAAAAAAAAAAAAAACTGACAGTGTAAATGATTGAATTCTGAGAGTTAAAATAAGAAGCAGGCTTTAATGTATTTTTTATGAGCTGAAAAGAACTCATTTCTGGCAAGGCTGGTGATTTATAAGGAGTAAAAAGGAGAACCAAGTCACATGCAGCAAAAACAATCTATTGGTTTAAAGGCAGAAATGCATTAAAAATTTCAAAGGCACAGCACTATARTAGTGTCATTTTGATGGCATTGTTTCTCCAGAAGACATTTGTCCTCTAGTTTCTCAGCCAGCACTGGGTATTGCTATGCCAGTTTTTTAAGCTTTGTAACATTTGTCCAGTGTAGTGAGTTTCACTTCTGAGCAGCTTTCTGKGTTTTGGTACCTGCTCATGTGTATTGAATGGTCCCTCTAACTTTCCAGTTTGGTGTTTGTTCTGCTTTAATTTAGTAAAAATACTGTTTCCATTCTCAAAAGTACTAATTACACAGCACTGATGAAATTGKATTAGTTGTCATTCAAGAAGACTTCCTTGATTGTCCCTTATAATATATAAATACTCTATTTTTGAACTTAGTGTAAATGAAATGATTGATACTTCCTGAAAACAAGAGATTCTAGGTCTTTCCCAGTGCAAGTATTCTCCTGCACTCATGACTAGTTAAATTAATTGTTGCAGATTTAAACCAGAAGTTAATTTGACTCATGCTATATTTGTATGTCTAGTAGATGTCTAATGTTATGGTACAGATTTTTTATTTATATAGACACAGGAATCTCTAACCCCAAGGTACTAAAAGGTTTACTTTTTATTGTCTTACACAATGTGGGCATGTCAGAGGTGTTAGAAAAGATATTTTRTAAAAAAGTTGAGGCTTGTTCCTAACAGTAGCAATAATGGCATGAATTCTTTAAATCTCTTTATCTGTACAAAACAAAATATACAATAAATATATAAGTAGATTTCCATTTAAATTTTTATTGAAAGTGCATTCCACATCTTACTTTCATTTAAAAGGCAAAAAGAAAGTCTGTATTTTCTTTTGAGACGTTTCATACTTCGGTGCAAGTGTTGTGCACTCCACTGGAGAGGGGAATCCCTTTTTTCCTGGAACAAAGTATTTCTGGGGAGAGTGAGTTTGCTGCTACCTGTTGTCCCGGTTTAAATATTGCACATTTTGGATATCAGACTTGGGTTGTTTCTCATGGCAACACTTTGTATGTGATGAGAGGAAGGGTGTGTTTTGTGAGAGCGGGTTCTGCCAATTGCATCGGCGTGTCAGCCCACACATCTGGCTGGCTGGCGGAACACCTCCTGCACGCTCCTTGTCGGAAGCCAGGAGAAGTTGTGCAGTTGGGGAAGACTTGTCACACTTGTGTCTTTCATGGGATGGAGGGCTCACGGCCTTGAAAGATTTAGTTTTCCATTCTGTGTTGTTTTTCCTCTCTTGAGAAGAGACAGAAYGCAGAGAGTTGTGAAGGGACAATCTCTTCTCCCCATGCAAGTTCTAGATTTGCTTAAGATATGTGCATTGGGCTTCCGTTCCCACACAAGAAAATACATGCAGTRCAGTGTTTTTGTTATGTCAGCTAGCTAAAACATTGGGATTTCTGCCAATCTTATAGCTCGTCTATAAGGAATGTTGAGTACRAAATTTGGTTCCTCTGTGGAGAATCACTTGGTGTGCAAAAATTGAGAACATCTGTTTATGGGCAGATGCCTTCATAGATGTTAGAGTTTCAACTGAGGCAATTCTCAAGTGTGTTTCACTGTTCTTCCTGACAATCTGATTTGTGTTTTCTAACAGTGGGATGGCGTAGGACCTCTCCCAGACTGTGCAGAACCACCCAAAGGAATCCAGATGCTGTGGCACCCTTCAATAGTCAAACCCTACCTCACACTTCTTTCTGAGTGCTCAAATCCAGACACGCTGGAGGGGGCAGCAGGGGCACTGCAGAAYTTGGCTGCTGGGAGTTGGAAGGTAGGAATATTAACACAAATACATATTTCTTCTTCATCTCTGAAGYAATCCTACAGTTGACAGCAGGTTGGTGATAGAAATGTACCTAATTGCTTCTGGTAGTGGAATAACCTTCTGCTTTCATAGAGCTATCTGCAGTCAAATTTGGGGTAGTTTCAAGTCCTGAGTAGTCATATCACAGCAAATGTCAGCATACAGCAGTGAAGATCACATCAGTCAAGTCAAGTATGAAAAATTGCCACTGAAAACCAATATCCAAATGAGGAGAAGCAGTTCTTTGTGATCCTGGGTGACAGAGCTGTGAAAAATGAGCCAAAAATGCCACCGGTAGCAATCAAATGAAACCATATTGTTTTGTCATTGCKGAAATTGGTTGACATTCTGTCTCTTAGGAGAAGCCAGAGCACTGCAGAGGAAGATATAAATGATGTGAACCAACACAAGTAATCTTAGCATCTACTTTTTGTAAAAAATAAGGCATTATTAAAATACATCCACAATATGATTACATATATACAATGAGCAAGGAAATGTGCARTCAMGGCACTCTATTCCAGCTAATCCTAMTTTTCAATTATATTCAAAAGATCCATTTTTCTKTCATGTATTATTTGCAGCAAGTTGAGTGAAAAATTTAAGAAAATACTTCTAAATTTAGAACAGCTCAGTAAAATTCAAGATAACATTGGACTTCATTTACTTTTTATTGAAACTGATGGTAAACTGGTTTAATTGGGTGGAAGTACTAACTGTCTAATCCTGTGGTGTAACTGTAATGCATTGATTTTAAATTAACTCTCAGCAGGAATTTTTCTCATTTACAATGGAAACAGTCACGTATGGGGAATTGCAGTGATCGAAGTTTTGTCTTCAGAAGATGTCCTGTTGGGTTTTAAACCATCAAATATTCGTATGTGATACGTAAATACCAATTTAATCAGGCATTCATTTTGAAATACTAGCGCTGGCACTGAGAAATTGTTTTCTTTTTCCCATAAAGTTTTATTGGAAGTTGGGTTGGCACACTCACTAGCTCTTCCAAGGCATATGACTGTTTTTTGGGTTTTTTTTTTTTGAATTGTGTTCCACCAAAGATAAAAAATGKTTTTGACTGTTGCATTCAGTGGCATGTAAAATGATTTAACAAAGTATCTGTTCAGTGAGTTTTGTCCTGTGTAAAGACTGTGCCTGAAAATCATTATGCTTTTATTATCCTGATGCTGTAGAGTATTTCAGATGGTGTAATCCTGGCAGAGAAATGCAATAAGTGTGTTCTATCCATCTGGGAATGGGTGTAGCTCTAGTCCAAATGAGAAAACAATGCATGCATGTTTGCCAGGACTAATAGAAGTGCTAAAATCCAAGCGGTGTCCCTTCTCCCATTTCTAATAAATCTGTATACCTGTCATACTTTAGTTGGCAAAGGGGACAGGGAGAGGAAGGAAGGCTTTGCAGAGCTCTTTCACGAGTGCTGGCTTAGAAAAACTGGTTTGGAGTTTAATACTATCTGTGCTGATACCATGGGAAAAGCTGAGTTGTTCTCATATTGCTCTATTTTTCTAAAGATTCACCAATTCTATTACAAGGGATGTGCAGACAGAGAATGAATATCCTTAATTTCACATGTCATACTAGCCATTTTTGTGAGGGGAGTAATCCTCTTTGGGGATTACATAAGCACTGATGTTTCCACCTTTTGACCTCTCCTTTCCACTGCTGCAGTCCAGATTTAAATTACTGAAATAAAAGAGAAAACTCTTAAAAGAAGAGGTTATTCCCAAGGGAGATTTTAATTTTTTTTTAGTTCCTACAAGAAGCGGTAATTGTATAAAGAATGGAATTTCTTTTTTTTTTTTTTATTTGAATTCTTTCAAGAAGAATTTTATGATGGACTGAAAGAGAGAAGAGCAAACTGCATGAAGAAAAATAACGTTGCTATAAATATTAACAGCAATAGCAGTTGTGGTTTTATTTCCAATTAGCATTATTTTAATGCCAGAAGAACCACGGACTGTTACGAGGCACCCAGCGTACCAGGCATGCTCACACACTCCAGAAGATACACTCCCTTCTGGAAAAATACACGATGTGGTTGATACACTTGCATAATTCCTTCCTAGCTGTTTCACCCTTTTGGTTCCTCTGGTACAAAGCTGTCTAATCCTCTTGGGTGACCAAGAGGTAATATTTTTAACACAGGCAGTGCTTAGCCAATACTATTACGCAGGRAAAGTGAGTAGATAAAAGGAAGCCTGAGTAATTTTTAAAAAATAAAAACTTGTGTAGGGGATTTAGATAAATGTCTGCCWCTAGAATTAACAGATGATATGTGTCTAAATCCCCTAGACTACTTTGGAGAATTTCAGGCACAAAAAGAAAGCACTACTATGTAGCTTTAAGGATTATAGCTCAGAAAGGCTAAAAGTTTTCATTATTTCAGGGAATATAGTTTCTCAGTGATACATACRCATAAAATCAACACATGCACATGGTGAAACATAATCTGTACAACATTTTTAGCACTGCTTCATGTGCAGGAATTCAGTTTAAAGCCAAATAGTAATGTAAAAGAAAAAAAAAATTGCATACTTTTATTTACATACAATTTTTCTGTGTCAAAATGAAACACTTTGGACCAAAGTCTTGACTTATATTACCCATCTGCAAAGTGAAACTTGGGTTTTTTTATAATGACTACTGCAATAATGGGTCAGTGCAATTATTATTAAACCAAACACAGTCTGTAACAAATCAAACAAGGAGCCTCCTGGTGACAAGTATATTAAGAGATCCAAATGAAATTTTATCAATAAAACAGTATTTTGAGGTATGAGAAAGAATATTTTCAATGTGAAAATCTAACCTGGCATACTTCACAACTGCAAGTGTTCACTTTGGTATATATTCTGATTTTGAAAAAAGATTTCCATCTTATATACAAAGCAAAACTCATTTTGGAAGAGGCTATTTCAGATAAACAGGGTCATTTGTTCTTCTCCACCAAGAATTTGTTCTGCACCAAGATGTGGTGACATCAGGAGGGCACTAGGATTGGAATCTGAAGAAGAAACATCTTTGACATGGAAAATTACATGCATGTCCTTACAGAGATCTCTCTTTTTATTTGTGTGCTTATTTGATGCAACTACGCAAAATAGGAACGGCCCTTCTGCAATGGTCACTATTACACAGACAAATATGTAACTCTTTTGGAAAGACTGGGCAAATTAATGTTTTCCACATCATTTCCAGGGTACCACTTTGCTTAAGGTCTGACTGCTGCCTGGGACAGTGACCTGTGACACCAGCAGGTGTCTCTCCCAACAGGGTTGGTGGCTGCCACTAATCCACACTCGGAGCACACTCAGTSCTGCTGCCTGAGAGCAAAGGGGCAGTTTGTCAGCCCTGGAGCTGTGCCCACCTACACCTTCTGCAGAGCTCAGCTGCCACCTGGCACTGGGAGTGTTTCTGTTTTAGGAAAGTAATTGCTTCCCAAAATATTTCATCTCATCAAATCTTAACAATTCTAATCTCACTATATCATAAACACCCTTCAGACAGAAGGAGCAGCATGTGAAAAGCGTGGCCATTGGGTTTGGCTTTACTCCCTTTCATTGCCACCTAAGATTTTTCTTTTTTTTCAAATAGAATTTTTGTAATATACTTAATATGAACTTGAAATTTAAAGCTGCTTGGAAATAGGAAATGAAAAATCTAGAGAAACACATTGTTCATCAATCTTACCTGGAGTTTTCCCTGAACAAATAAGGTTTGAGATATGCTTTTGGAAGCAGTGCAAACTCTTTTATTTCCCATTAGGTATTGACTTTCATTGGGAGGTCTGTTAGTTCTCTTTGCCACTTAATTTGTGTTTAACCAAATTTGTGCAAAAATGTAGAAATAAGAAAAAAGAAGATTTGCTGACTCCCTCAGCGATATTCCAAAKACAATTGTCTGCTTATTAAGAAATCTCTCCCACTATAACCCTTCAAACCAGAMGTTCTTTCTGCAACCTCATATATTTTTTAATTTAATACTTTGGATTGAAAAAATTACATGGTTTAAAATTACAAGAGTCATACTGTAAAAGATGATCTTTTATATGTAGTCTAGCATTAGTACTTTTCCTCAGATGGTGAAAATGAAAGTGGCAAGTTCTTTTAGTTTTCACCTTGGTCAATTGGCTATTAATGTACTAAATCTCCTGAGCCTGTAAAAAGTTAAATGCAGAATGTCCTCGAGTTAACAATGTCAAGCATCCAAGGTTATGTTCCTTCTGAACAAAATCAGCCTCTCAGGAAGAAAGGAAATATTAGGATATCTGTTTATTACTGTGTCTGTGTGTATGTATCTTGCAGCTGAATTTGGGCTGATCTCAGTTTACCTGCAGACATTACTGCAGTACTGCAAGACCTGTTGCTCTGAACTCCCAGAATCACGAATGCTGCTGTATTTATAGAAACAGTTTTGTTGTCTTTTACATCAGTAGCCAGATTAAGTGCCAGCTGGGCTTTGGCCCTTCTGATTTTCTCCCTGAAACCTCAAAACATCCGTGTAGTCCTCCAGAGCTCCCTTCTTCCAAAGGGAAGGGAAGAACCCTCCTTGTTTTTTCCTGAGCTCAAGCAAAGCTCTTTATTCATCCAGGCTTCCCCACCATCTCACCTTTTAACAKACAGGGATGACTTGTTTCTGTCAACAGCAGGAACAAGCTTTTAAGATTTCCTGCCTGAAGAATGTGTAGCCTTCCTGAGCTTCTCTGCCCTTCAGTAGTGTTTCCCAAAGGATCCTCCTCAGCAGCCCAAAGTTGGGCCTCTGCAAGTCCAAGGTAGCAGTTCTGCTGCTCTCCTCCTTTCTTATCCTTTGAATGTACCATGAGGAACAAGTGCTGCTCTGTTGAAGTCAGTATCAGTCTCTTGAGACTGTAGCATTCCTAGACTGGTTCTTTCTAGCTCCTTTTCCATTCCRTGTTTGATCATRCTCAGCAGGAAATGAGGAGGCTC